CCTGATTCAATGGGCAAGGGACTCCCCAGGTTGAGGTGCTGAGCAGTTCCAGTCTGGAGCACAGCTGTGGGGTCAGGGATGGGTGCAGGCAGAGCTGGAGGAAGCAGCTCCTCCAGGAGCTCCTTCAGGGGTGCATAAGGTGAATGGGCTCGAGCAGCTGTAGTGTGATGGTTGCCAAGGGAAGTGATGGGCTGCAGGGCCTGGAAGGGACTGTCATCAGAATTGTGGAGCAGTGGCACTTGGCCAGGCAGGATCCTCAAGCTAGGATGGGGATGGGACCATGTACCCCCACTCTGATGCCCATTCCAGGGAGTTTCAGTGCATGAGCAGCTTCCCCCTTTCCATGGAGCTCTATCCATGCTCTAGGACCTGGGAGCTGCTTCTCTGCTTCCCTGCACCCCAGTGTTGGGGAGCCCCAACTCTGCCCTGAACGCTCCCAGGAGAGGGCCTGGGCATGGCCTGCAGCCTGACACTCCCCTTTCCTTCTCACCAGCTTTGGTAGGGAAGCCTGTGCCCCTCCTGAAGAGTCCCCTGTGCATGGGAACAGGAATGGTGGGAGCCATTCCCCTGCTCTGTCCCCATTGGCACCAGTGTCCCAAGCTGGAGGGACAATGGGGTTACCAGAGCCAGCCTCACCCCTCAGTGTCCCTGATCCATTGCTCCTCCCTTACCTGCAGTTTCTCTTCCCCTTTCCTGGAGGGAGCCCAAGCTGAGGGCGAAGGCAGAGCTGAAACCACAGCTGAGGGGAAGTCTGAGGGGGGGTGCCCTGATAACAACCAAACACAACCAGGGCCGAGGTGTGTGACCCCCGTGCTGTGTGATCCCTCCAAGCACAACTGGATCCAGGTGTCGCTGCTCCATGTCTCCATTTTCGGTGTCTCCAGCTGGAGGGACATGGGGAAGGCCCATATGGAGCTGCTGCAGGCTGAGGTCCAGCACCTCGTGACACTGAGTTCGTCCTGGGGACACAAGGACACCAAACCCCTTCCCTTCCATGGAACTGTCCCAGTGAGAAGCAGGGATGCTGCGGTGGCCTGGTAGGCCCAGAAATGGCACCAACTTCCCCAGCAGCATCACCTGGGGGACGTCCAGCCATGCCACCACAAAGTTCCTTTGGAGCCAGCAGTGCTGGGCCCAGAGGGGAGTGTTTGTCTGGTGGGATGGCAAAGCACAGCCTTGGGGCAGCCGGGGAGGGAAGGGGCAGAGGCACTTTTGTCCACACTGTCCTGTGAGGTGACCACTTGTCCCCATGATCCCCCCTAAGATGAGTGTTGGTCACTTCTTGCTGAGCAGCTGAGGGGCCGTTCTCAGCCCTCAGTCCTGTGCAGGTGCACGTGACACCGCTGGTGCCTGGGTCACTGGTAGGACAGGAGCAGGTACCTGCTTTGTGCCAGTGGTCACAATGTGTTCAACCCCCTCTGAATTTTCTCCAGATGTTTCCCACTGTCACAGGGGATCAGAAGTACTTCTTTAGCCATTCCTCTTCTCTATTGAATGTACTTCTCCTCGTGGTTTTGGTTTTGTTTGTTTGGTTGGTTTGTTGTTTTTTTACCTTTCTTTCTTGCTCACAACTTCATCGTCCTTCACATTGTCCCTTTCTCTGGTCAGGAAATAACCCAAGGGGACAGGAGGCTCTTGATCCACACCGACCATTGGTCCTCACTGTCCTCTCAGGTGACCAGGGTCCGCAGAGTCACCCCCAGGTTACCACTGGTCCCCACAGTTCCCTCAGGTGACCTTGGTTCTTTACAGTCCTACTGGGTGATTACTGGTGCTCACTTTCCCCCCCGGCCCCGGCCCCAGGTGACTGTAGGACTTTGTTCCACCTCATGTGACCCACAGGTGACACTGGTCTTTGCATCCCCTCAGGTGATTGTTGGTCCTTGCAGTGCCCCCTGTGCTGAAGGCTGTAAGCCCCGAGCCCAGGGCTGTGCCTGGGGGAGTCACGGTGGGGTGGACAGGGATGCAGTGCCCCTGGGTGCTGCACTGAGGTGGGCAGCAGCACTGGGTGGGCTGGGCTGAGGTGCCTGAAGAGCCCTCTCAAAATGCCTGGGTGGGGGATGTTGTTATAGGGTCTCTTGGGGGGTTGTGAGCACACACTTGCAGACACCTCCTTGGTGCCAGGTGTTTGTGGCTGGGTAGGGTCTCTGTGTGAATGACCTCCCAAAACACCTTTCCTCAACAGGTTTGCCCACCAGCTGCACCTGCTTTCCAGGTTCTGTGGATGAGCTTCATCCTGCCCCATCCCGTGAGTGCTGCAGGGTGTTCCACTCTGCTTGGGAGAGGAATTGCCTCATTTCCTCCCAGAGGGAGCCCTGCCCACACTCGAGGGTTTCATCTGTCTGTCCCAACTCAGCAAGGGCTGGGAGAGGCTTGGTGTCACCCCTCATGCAGCAAGGTCCTTGAGCCCTGTGGTGCCAGCAGGTGACTCTGGCTGCCAGGAAAATGTAGTCCTGCCACCAGCATCATTGTTTCCAGGTTCTGGCCGAGAGGGAACAAAGCCCAGCAGAGCTGTGGTGGATACAGCCACAGGCCAGCCGGATTTTCTGACTCACACATGGCTGCCAGACTTATCTTGGGAAATTTTGCAGGGAAACAAAACCTTTAGAAACTGTGTGTTCAAGTTGATTGGGAGCATGAACTAAATGCCTTCCTGTGTCTGTCTGAACTCTGCTGTCTTCAGTGGGACATGGG